TACGTTAGAGTAAACGACACCAATTCGAAACTTTTCACTGTTGGTACTGGTTTCTGCCACGGCTGCGTTCTGCCATATCCCCTGTTTGTGTTATACATGGACAGAATAGTCGAACTAAGTGGGAGGAAGTGAACAACCAGTAAATTGGAATGGTCAGGGGGTTCTGCGTGAAGTAACCTGAACCATTGACTATAGCAGTGCTGAGTCTGAAGACTGTGTTCAAAATATTTTAGTCGATCTTAATCCCCATACTTATTTATCATGAGTCACGAGTCGTGAGCGTGACTGATAAGCTTCGAACCCGGGTACAAGCTGCTGCAATGGGCTTTCCGAGACAAATCGCTGACCTCACGGGTCTCGACGTGCTCCAGAGTTCAGGTATTCGAAAGACCCTTAATGCGCAGCCGCTGCTTCCACAGATAAAGAAGCTACAGCGGCGATGACTTACATGCTTCTGAAAACAATACTAATAACGCGAAACAATTACTACTTTCCGAACCAACTGGCCGAGAACAACGGGGACGGTCAAGAATGACCTGGTCTAAGAAAACTGAATGACTCTGCTCAAGACTAAAGCTGTCTCCTGCCGACGCTCAAATGCTTGCACAGGATCAGGAACGTCCGGGGATGTTGCCTGACGCATTTGTTTTCGTAGCCTAAAGAATCAGCGATCGTGGAAACTGATACTAACTAACGAAAGTTTCATGTTCTGCTTGTAAAGGGCTTTCAAACGGGAGGATTAAATTGAGCGTTTGATACAGATGACCACCTACAATTATAGAGACTCAAATTCCCAACTAAACGACAGCTCGCAGTCACCAATCATAAAACAAAATGAAATTCATCTGCATTCATGGTTTGACACTGGCATCACAATGCACTCGCAGATAGTTTTCCGTTGAGAGGCAATATGATGTGCGAAGTGAAATCATTCATGCAGATGACCATCGGCTAATGACATAAATTCAAACTCCTGACTGCACACTGAGTCGTGACGTTCCGACATCGCACAGTCGTCAGGATGAAATTATAATAAGAAAATACCACTGTGACAAGGGCTTAGTACTTCAATGACAGAGAGCTAGCCATAAACACATAACATAATGGACTGGACCACGGTTTTGATGCCATTGACCATTGTCCAGTTATACTGATTAAAAGCGGCTGCCAGCCAGCGGCCTGCCAAAACATTCCATTCCGATTGGAACACGATACGAAGAAGAGCTGAAGGCGTAAGCGAAATCTTGTTCCATAGAAGATTGGAACTGAAATTCAATTGGCTGGTGTTGAATTTTTAGATGGCAGACTAGGCATTCTGAACCGGCCATCCGTCGAGATTGAATGAAAGGCAAGAATAACTTATATTTCTGAGATGGATGGAGTACTTTCTGGAACTCCTGAATGCCGAACAGCCGCCTTGAACTTCACCTCAAGAGCAGTAATTAACGGATATTAGTTTTACAGATGTAGACAGCTAAGCTGCAAAAACCTTGAGAGGCGAGAAAGCTGCTGGAATCGATAAAATCCGCCCTGAGCTGCTCAAAGCACATTCAACCTAGCACACGTATTGCAAGCTATAGTGACGATGGGGAAGACACCAGTGGAGTGATGAACGTGGGTTGTGGTACCCCTGTTCAAGATGAGAGACTGCAACTGTAGTAACATTGCCTTATTGAGCCTCTCTGGAAAGCAGACTCATGGTATCGACGGCCATTTGCCATGGGCCATTCAGTCACTCCATATTGATGACGGGCACAGCGTCAGGGTGAATCGCTTTAAGTCGAGACCTTTTAATCTTGGCACCGCCCCTGCAAAGGCTGCGTTCTGACTCCTATCCTGTTTGCATTATACATGGACAGAATAGTCAGGCGCAGCCAAGACGATGAGTGTATCACCGTAGGAGTATTTAAGATGAGAAGGTTGCTGTTTGTGCAGACAATCATATTTTACTGTATTTTCTGAAGCTGATCTCCAGCGTTCTTTGGAAATGTTCGCATTCCGAGGCTGTTTTGTGTGTATGCGCGCCTGAAACTAAAAGCGTAGTGCATTTTTGTTTTCCTGATCGCAGCAAACAATTGGGGAAGCAACGGAAGTTTACATGATGTTTGGCGAGTTGGTACAGTATTCATGAGATCTGCTTCAAATGCCAGAGGTGCCGGGATTGCTTCCTTTAGAGGGTAATCATTGTCTGATTCACGAATTCTGAGAGAAAGGAATTTACTACCCATTGCATTAGACTGGGCTTGCTCAGTCGATAGAGCGTCGAACTCAGCCTTGGTCAAAATCATCTGCCCTTCTTTCATCCGAAGTAGAAAATTAGTACCACTAAGTGGGGAGGAAACAGAAGACTGCGTGAAGCTTCCACACTGCTGTAGATACAGTCTTACAATGAGGCATTCCTGGCTGATGTACGTACGTACGTACGTATGCATGTATGTATGTATGTATGTATGTATGTATGTATGCATGTATGTATGTATGTATGTATGT